CCTCCCACGCAACTTCCTCCGCAGCTTGCAAAGATATGCAAATCGTCTATGTTGCGATATCTGATTTCTTCAAACACATATTTTCCTTTACTCTTACCTCCTTGTCTCGCTAGCTGCATACGTTTTTCCAAAACTTTGCATTCTTTTCCGCAAGATCTAGTTATTCCGCATCGCGGAAAATCCGTGTTATCGCACGCGAGCGTTATCGACCGCGATGGAAACCGAGTGGAAAGGCCATATTAGGCGTCCGACGCGGTTGAACCACGTCGTCTACCACGAGGCATTACTGTCGTCTAATGTACGTCCAGTCACGCCCCCGCTGGCTGGGGCCCGGAGAGCGAAACGAGCGAGCCGAGGCGAAACGAGACGAAGCGTGCCGAGGGGCCCCATCGGCGGCGGGCCCCCGTCGCCGATCGGCGAGATCGCGACGAGCCAAGCTCTTGCGAGGTGTTCTCGACCGACCGGGTCGCGAAGCCGCGCGCGACCGCTCGCGTTCCCCTGGCCGAATAATCCCCTCAATTACATGGGGACAATGTGCTCAGCCGCGTGTCCGTCATTTGAATTGGTAAGCCGACGACGGGAGCCAGCGATCGATTTCTCGGCTATTCCGAAAGTGGTCCCCGGTTTCTCCAAAAATGCCCTAAGTACGTCTAAGAGCTGTCGTCGGAGCTAAAGTGGTTTCTAGGCTGAACGTATTGTGTGCAGTGCGATCGCGATTGAATGCGTATTAAAGTGAATATTAAATTTTAGAGGAGATCCTGTTAATGGAAATGTTGGGTAATGTCATTAGGATAATGAGGATTTTGTGGAAATAACGTATCCGGCATTTTGTTTTTGCATTACATTTGTCATTTTTTTTTAAATAGTTGCCTTATGCTTGTGTTGTATATATTTGGTCCAGGAAGTATTACTAAGGGTAAGCATAAGGTTTCTTCATGCTGATCACTATAATTTTATTTGTATATTTTTCTATTTTTCAATTTTTTTCTATTGCATTTATATTTAATATAACGTTAGAACACGAGAATAATATTAAATGTAGATATTCAAAATATATACGAATTATCTATGATATCTTGTTTTAATAAAAAATAAAATGTGTAGAATTTGAAATAATGCGTAAAAAATTTATTTATTTCTATTAGAAAAAACTTATTAAATTATACGAGTTTTAAATTATTCTCAAAAATATACATAAAACTCCAGTTAACCTACAAGTATTTTCAAACATAAGAAATGAGTTCATAATTACTTTTAAATACGATAATTGATCCCTGTCGCATTTGCGTTGTGTAAAAGGAAAAAAAATATCTTCCTCGAATTAAATAGGTTGGCGGTATGATTGCTTTCAACCAGTACGGCTCATCTTTAAGCGTATCTCGTTTTTCAGAAATGGCAGTGAGCAACCGGATGTGCACGCCTATTCGCGTTTAAATCTCGCATTAATGCAAAGTGCTTATATTTTACGCAACCGAACGTATCTGCCTTTCCAACGAAGTTCAAATATGATGGAAAAAATGCACTACTATTCTATCTTTTCAACTTTTTGACATTCTATCTATTTCTTCATTTATATCTTAAAAATTTAATCCAAAGGATTAAACATTTTTCTTAGTTTATATTTTTAGTGTGTACAAAAGTCGAAAAAAAAATTTAATTATGTATAGGAGATTTACCCTCTCATTGTTTATTAAATATTGAGATTGAAATCGATATCGATTTAGATAACATGAAATGAAATTGATTATTATATATTATTATATAGTTTCAATTCATATAATAGTCTTCTATTTATGAAGCCGTTTATTTCTGCTTTATTTTTTTTCTAGAACAACTTTTAATGAATGAATCGTATCTAAAACATTTCTATAAATGATAGAGACTTTTTATAAAGTTATGAAACGTTAAAAGACACGTTTTTAGCTTAACAGAACGATGCAGCAAGTGACGTATTCCGACATAGCATATAGCAAGTAATTTTCCTCGATCGCGATATCCGATCCTGTTCAAGACGTTGTCGCTATATCGCCGGATGTGAGCGCAATGACTGTTCTCGGGTTTTCTCAACTGTCAGAGACGGAAGTGGATGAACAGTCAGGTGCGTAGCTGCATGTGCGTTCACGCGATCGGCGAAGCGATTTTCCGTCCCCTGCATCGTTGTCATCGTGTTTATCATGCATCTTCTTTTCAACTTAGAATGTTCTTTGTTGTTAAATTGAATTCCTCATCGCGTTGATACAAGTTGTTGGTTCTTTGCCGTAAAATTATTCATGAAAACCCGCACGTATCTGCGACGGCAGAGTAGTAACTTGCATCGCCAGGTATGGAAATTTCCTTCCTGAGCCGGATAGCCGGCAACGGTTATTGGTATTCTACTCTTTTGCTGGTCTATCGCTATTCTCTTGCACGATTCATTGTTCGTACCTGATCCGATGTGGAGAATGAGGTAGAGAAGGAAAGAGCAAGACTGAAGAGAGAGAGAGAGAGAGAGAGAGAGAGAGAGAGAAGGAAGGAAGTAAGGTAAAGTAAGTAAGACTG